TGTGGTCAACATACCGTCCAGCACCGGGTACTGGTGCATCGAGGGGAACTGCCGCGAAGGAGTGGTGCTGCGCACAGCTTTGAGGACAACATTTTCCGCGGGATCCGGATGACTAGTGTGCGGAGACGAGCCGTTTAGGATACCGACCTTGCGCAACTTTTTCAAATACCGTTCAAAATGTTTCCCGGTGATGAGCGGGAGCTGGGGTGCGGGCAGTACTTCCGCACGTTCAAACTGTTCACCCCATGTACGGGAGAATATGTCAGTCTGGAATAAACGAAAAATCAGAAATCGTGAGGAAATGGATTTTATACTATCGACTAAAATCATGACAAGCTCGACAATGTATTAGAACATAAACTACTAGAAATCGCACAAGAACGCAAACACGCGAACAATGTCACGAGATGTACGCGAGAGTGATAAAAGATGACAAAAAGAAACACTACGATAGGATAAATGCGAGCAGAAAATGGCTCTGGGCGTCTTACAATATTAAATACTACCTCAAAATATTTTATTTCTTTCAGTGGTGGTGAAGATCTCATCCAGGTTACCTATAAACTAACAGGCTTATTTTGGGTTATGTCGTTTCTCCAATTCATCACGTAGTTAAACCCACAGGAACATTTTGGAACTCCGAAGAGTTTTCTTAGGCTGATTTGATCCACCTTCAAATCTACTTCCGTCGTTCCCCCTCTTCGTAACATGGAAACGGTTCCTTGTCCCGAGCACCCAATCACGTGGTTGGGTGATCACACGTGACGAATAGAACGCAATGCATTGGATTGCGTTTGTAAACATCTCGTGCATAATCACCCGGCGAGTGATTCTTTCATTCTTGGTGTTTTTCACCGAGATTAGTGCTTCATTAATCAGTTTCCGGTAACCATCTATAGGTAACCCTGTCCACAGTGTGACCGTTTATCAGACCATTTCGGTAACTGAATTCCTTCGAAGATATTTCCACTGATTATTTTTTCTCGTTTCATCTGGATCTAGGCACAAATTAGTTCAATGCAACGAATGCATGGTGATCGCCTCTCGAATGGGGTTCACTCTTGTGCCCCCCTCGCCCCAACCCGTTTGGGTCTTCAACACAAAAACCTGGCTGTTAAATTTTCAAGGAAAACCACCGAAATGCTTCATCACTCGTGTATCTATTTTACTCCTGAATGAACTGCCAACCAAATGATGTGGAATGAATGTGTTTGCGTGTGAAAAATGTGCACAGAAAATCACTGCTGACCTTCACCCCGGATGTCCTTTTCACATCCCAAAACATTTTGCACTTTGGTTCCCCGCTTTGGCATTGTCGAAGATGAAGCAGTCCCTTATTTCACTTGAAGCATTACACAAATCGGGGTGTAGGTTTTAGTTGATTTCCTTGGAAATTCGTCAGGTGAGTTTGTAAAACCACTAACCTTGCCTATTCGTGTGCTGTCCATTGGAAGACTACCTTCCCCCCCCCCTCTCCAGCTAAAGATAAAGTGACAGGGATTGTTTTGGGACTTAAAATGTGGATATGTAGTCGGGCACGCAAAAGTCTAAACAAATACCAATCAGTTGTGTTTCTATTGCACTCGCGAGGGCTGGTGAAAAGATTGCCATCTTCTCTCGGTCTTGTGCGTGTTGAAACTGGTTGTCGACGCCTGACGGATGGTCACACATGTTTTGCCTCTTTTTTCATTATGCATCAGATGTTTCCAGAGAAAATCAATGATCCAAAGATAAACACCACGTCATGTTTAGTCAACTAGGCACATATATCTGCTCGATATATGTGAATAAGCTGCACTGAACACAATTTATTTTGTTTTGTAATCTGTATAGCATTAGAGAAGCAGCATAAACTTTTCTTTTCACTTTACACTTTCGTCACGGACTATGTAAGCCTCACGAACGACTCCTTATTTCTGCCCAACAACCTGTTGATTAATTCAAGATAAATACCAGGAATTATCTCTCCTGGTCAATCAACGTGAATAAAATCTCATGTGTTGGAAAATTCGAGAAACGGAACCTATTTCACATCCCTAAGATCAGTCATTTGCAACTTTACTTCTTTACTACAGCTGGCTCCTTGGAAAAAATAAGCCGGCTCCATGAACATCTCTGACTGCTGCCGTAGAAGACATGATCATGAAGTTACTTGGGAGTTTGATACGAGAGACATCCCGAGCATCACTCGGCGATTTTTTTTTATTTTGAGGGCGCATCTCTAGCTTTTGCACGATCAAATACGCACTGCAAGGCAGCAGGAAGTAATCCCTCAGCTCGGAAGTGAGGGAATCAATGGCTGAAATTTTATAAGGCCAGTCACATCGAGTTTTGTCGGCTTTTAAACAGGAGCCAGGTGACCAGCATGAAACCGACCACACCCTAGTAGTTCCGCAGCTATTTGTTCGCGACTGCTTATTTGTTTCAGAATGCCACAGCTTATTCAAAGCTAACCTTCTTCGTTGAAGGTATCTCCCTACAATCCGGGGACGTGCCTGGTAGTATTCAGCTCTGCTTAACACGAGAGGGTATCCAGAGTATTACTTACAATGTTTTCTCATATTACCCTTTCAGTACAACACAGGCGCTGTAACTTCGTGAGGCTTTTGAAACCCCTCAGGCCGTGGTCTGACTGGTAGTGGTTGTATTTCTCAGTGAATAAGCGCTCGTGGACGATCAGAAATGATCTTAGGATGTGATGGGTCTGGGTCTGACAAGCGATCTTCCTTTGTTCCTCCCTCCCCCTCGCTCACTCTGAAACAAAATCGCAAAACCATCCGTAAAAGATGTGCGCGCATCGGACTGATTACCAAATAGGATTTTTCATTACTATGTGGAGTGACTTCACCCATTTCTCCAAAAGGGGACTCTTGCAGTGATCCTGCCTACCACCACCTTGTGACACTTCTTCCAATACTGTCGAAAGTCATGGAGGCTGTTGTGGCAGGTCTGGTGATGCAGTATTTGGAGAAGCATCAGCTTTTGTCTCCAACTCAGCACGGATTTTAGCATAAATGTTCGTGTAACACAAATTGATTTCTTGCACGAAAAGAGCAGACAAATTCCATCGATGCCATGGGATATCGTTTATTTGGGCTTCTCCAAAGCATTTGATCGAGTAAACGACCACATTATCTTGCGAAAATTCTACAATTACGGAATGAGAGACTCGGTTCTCGACAGGATCGAGAAGTTTCTCTGACAATGGATCATGCCAGTTCGTGTTTGTGATTCATTACCTGAACCGATTGCTCTTATACCCAAAGGTTCCATAGGGAATCGTGCTGGGGCCTCATCTTCTCCTTGCATTTATAAATGACCTACCACATGTCCTTGAGTCAAATACAGTATTATTTGCAGACGACACTCAAGTCTGGAGTAACACAGTAACACATACAGAGGATTGGTTGGCACTCCAAGAAACGGTCAACGTAATCCACCGACAATCAATCACCAATGACGTTGAAGTTAACTTTTCAAAATGCAAAATTATTCCCATACGGCACAAGATTCGTTTCTCCTATATTCTAGGGAACCAAATACTACCGCATGCCACTGATGAAAGGGATTTGGGAGCTATGGTACAGACGGATGTAGGATGTTCCACGCACTGTTCCAGAGCATCATCCACAGCTCTAAAGCAAGTTGGACCACTCAAACGTTCGAAATGGCACTGTTCCTACGCTTGCTATCAGTGTTTATTCGGTCATACACACACACACACACAGTACACGCCGTTCACGTGTGGAATTCATGGTTGAACCGCAACAAGGTTCTAAAACGCCCGTAAAGATTAGCAACAAAAATGGTATAAGAAGACACTCCGAAAGACTGCAAACATTGGGGCTTCACTCATCCCAGAACCGTCGACTTCGGGAGGGACTAATCTTGCCATACCACACACTGCATCAACCCAACCACTCTTGTCGTTCTTTGTTAACTTTATCTCAAAATGCTCAAATCAGAAGACATCTATTGAAAAGGAGAACCCAGAACAGTTACTTAGATTGCTGGCATCACTCGTTTGCAGTCCGAGTGTGCGTGCATAGAATTCCCCTCCATGTTGCGTGTGCTTTTACAGTTGAATCATTCATGAGGCAGCTGGATAAAGCATTGAAACACTTAATATTTCAACATCCTTGTGGGTGACTCTGAAAGTGTTAGCGATGCCTGCTCGAATAAAACGGGCTGAATAGTATCGTATTCACAAACTTCCCGGCGAATGAGTCTAGGTAGCTCAGCTTTCTCTACGTAGAACAATGCCACAACACCAAGTAAGTGAAAGGATTAATAAGTCATGGAATGATGTGATGCCAGACTAAGGAAAAGTAAACAGTTGTTTCGTTCTTGTTCCCCCTTATCAGCAGCGCGCAGGTTTTTTTGTGTGTCCGTACCGAGACTAGAACCACAAGCTGTTGTCAGTCACTGCACCACTGCATCGTTGATAAATGAGACCCACATAGAAAAACATGTGGTGTCCGTGATATCACATGAATTATACGAGATGATTTCTGAGTACGAAGAATACATACCATAACCATCATCGTTTTACGGTATAATACAGTGAAGCGAACTTCAATGATCGCTGCCAAACTCATATTGCACACAAGATAAGTGAGAATGTGTAAGGATAGGGATTGAGCCTATTTTTAGGTACGGTCAACACACACAGTACACAGCCCAAGCGTGCATACAAGCTATTTCAAGCATTCTGGTCTAGTAAGAAGTGATAGCAAGATCGCCAATGCTGTCGGTCCGCAGCCATGACCTTCAGTGTCTCCAACCATGCGTTACGAAGTCTTTTGGATCCCAACCCGGAAGACGAAAGACACCTACTCTACCTAATCGCTCTGTGCATTTCTTCATGCTTCGTCTCTACGTCATCTGCTGGCCTCCATATCGCTCTCTCTAACCTGCAACAACCACTGCGAATAAGTCGCACTGCGGTAGGCGACCGTCGGACATGCGCAAAACGTGTCCTAACCAAAGGAGCCTATTGAGCTGACTACGTAAGCATCGATTGTCGAAAACCATTAGGCGACGGATGTCTTCTAACCGTAAATTCAAGGTCTCACTACCGTAAAGCAGAACTGATCGTACAGTGACGCAGTATACACGACTTTTCGACTTGAGTGAAACGTCACGTCGCCGCCGCAGGTGTTTCAGTCCTGCGTACGCTTCTCGAGCTTTGGAAATGCGGGCGGTTATTTCTTTTGATGCGCTATCATTGTTGGTCACGCAGCTACCCAAGCACGAGAAGCAGTCATCTTTAGCTAATTCGGAACCGTCTAGTTTCAGAACAGAACTCGGCGACACCCAGTCTTGCAGCACCATTTTGCACTATGAAGGTGCAAAGCACACGCCGAACAGAGCTAATCTGTCAAGTGCTCTTTGTGCATCCTCCATAGGTTCGAACATGAAAATGACAAATGACCGTATGAAATCGTCCTTGGAGTGGCGAACCATCTAAGACCCCGACGATTATGGCCTAAGAGACTCCCAGACTATATCGTGAGGCGAAAAAAGGGAGATATCGGATATTCGACAAGATGCTCGGAAATCATTCAACCGCAGACCAGCAGGCGAAAGATCACCAATCTGTGCACCAAACGGTTGTAAACCAATTGGCATAATACCTATATCGAGTGGTTGTACATTTTAGTTTCTCTAATGAGCACGATTTTAGTCGACCTCTGGCGCTGCTNGCTGCTTCGCTCCAAAAGGTGTGCCTGAGAAGTTAATTTCAATCTTGTAATCCCTTTATACTAATAGCTGAGGCCGAGTTCGAGCTTACGGCACTTTTTCAACCGAGTTCACTACAGAAAGTAGTGTTCCACAGGCTTTCCCTTTCTCTCCGTTTCTATTTAACTGTCATAGATTCGACTATGGAAACAGCACTATCCTCGTGCGAAAAAACGGTATCGATCTGGTCCCGGGTGGCAGACTCTGATCTAGAGTATGCAGACGACATTGTGCTGCCCAGTGAAGACCCAGGTAAGTTGTACGCTTTTCTGGATAGTTAGTTAGTGCTAGCGTATGCGTTTTGCGCCTTCGTGGTGTAAAATGTTGTTACAAGATTGGGTTGGTTCAGCCCCCTACCTCACCCTGACTGGGGAAGTAGTAGCGGAAGTTGACAAATCTAGCTATCTGGGCAGCTATATCTCACCTGGCGGACGCATCACCCATGAAGCGTCGGCGAGCATACAAAAGCCTCGGTTGGCGTTTGCCAACTTGAGACATCTGTGGCGCCGTCGCGACATCCGGCCGTCTGTGAAGGGTTGAGTATATACTGCATCAGTTCGGCTAGTGCTGCTATACGGTGTAGAGACTTGGCCATTATGGCAACAGGATAAAAACAGACTGTCGGTGTTCGAACACCGCTGTCTATGTCGCATTGCATAAGTCTGTTGGGATAACCGGACGAACAATGCTGAGGTTAGGTGTAGAGTTTTAGGTGGTCGCGGTAGTCCACCGGAGCAAGTGGTCGAAATCCATAGATTACACTGGTTGAAACTTATGCTGCGCATGTCACCAAATAGGTTGCCACAGCGAGCGATGTTTGTCGAGGCAGGTGGCGGTTGGAAAAAGGTCAAGGGAGGTCAAACTAAGACCTGGCATGAGAGGGTATGAAAACCTTAACCAGGAGACTGGGTCACTTTTGGCTCCCTGGCTGGGGACCGCGAGATTATGGTCATCGATGGCTAGAGACACTCAGCGATATGACTGGGTGTTGCAAACAGTGGTGTTCATGCATCTACTCATTATTCTCCTAACACCAATCTATATGAATTATCTATCTTCCGTTTGAATTTGCTCTGAACATTCCAATCTCCATTCTGCGCTTTTATCCAAATGGGCGGCGGAAGGACGGCAACCAAAACCGGCGGACGAAAGTGCATAGTTATTAGTTGCAAAAACTGAAACTGAAAATGATCTTTTCCCCCGTCCGTCCTCAACGCATTCGGATCTCCTGCATAAGCCACTGACACGCATATTTGATACTCTTCATGAGAAACAGTGCGGTGCTGAATCGTGATGGTTACCCAGGGCTGTTGTAAAAAAAAACACAAATCGAATGTGGCATGGAAGTTTACAGGCCCGACTGGACGTATGAGGTTTACGACTGATCATGCACATTTAAGTCATCCGTTTTCTTCGAGAAGAAGGATGCTGACGTGTTCCTTGCGGCTGTTTGGCTTTTCACTACGCTGCGCTGTTATTCTGTTCTCACTCTACTATCACTGGAACTGTCTTTCATGCAAAAGTCCAAGCCTAATTTCGACAATCCACGCGCCGGAGACAAGTTACCGATAGAGACTGATCATCCATACTAGTCGCATAACTAAACTCAGTAGGTTTGTTTTGTTCCCGAACTTGACAAAATTGTGAAACACTTCTCTTCTCTGCCTACCATCTGCACTAAAGCTTTTACAGAATTTCAGTGGTCGGGGACTGAAGGTTAAGAATATGTTTAACGTGTCACACGACTGAAAAGCTTTGGGAAGCAGTTCTGTTGAGCTGGTTCATCCACATGTGAAATTGTTCGTATTGCATATTCATCGAGTCTGCGACTGACTGTTCGAACACAGGTTCACAGGTTCCCCCACCATAAGACAAAAAGGGACATCTTATTGGTAAAGATATGAGAGGATAGTTTTGTTTAATGGTCCAAATGAATGATGTTTGATTAACAGCCACAGAATAACTAGGGGAACGAGGGATGGGAAGAAGGATCATGTGAACTTACTTGACGATAAGCGGGGTCGTTAAGAACAGCCGGCAAATTCACAACCGAGTTGTACACACTCCATCGGGCATTGGAAGCTGGAAAGTATGTGAAAAGAGGAGTCACTGACTACGAGTTGGATGAATAATCTGATCGGGTACTGTTTAGAAGTTCACTGTGAAAACAATGTAAACGGGCGATGAGAAAGGGTGACACCATACAACTGCTTCTTTCTGTACAATCAAAGATTGAGTCACCTAGATAGAGAAGTAACCTGGTTGCAAGTATGCACGCGTATTACAACATTAAAAGTATACTTAATCGGTGGGAACTAGAGCCTCCGAAAGCCTCAGTATGATCCGGGTGGGTGTCTCGGGTTGTGGTTGGTCTCTTTTTTCTTGCACTTCACGAAATGCTCCATAGGACCAAACGTTTCAAACAGCCCCTGCTGAGCAAAAACCCTACTCACTGTCTTTTCGTGAGGTGGAGGTTTTCCCCCGCCACAGTGAAAGGATAAAAAGCCAAAATCCGGGGCTATAACCGCGTCGGTGGACCACTGGTAGTTCATTCAGGGCGGTTGACTAAAAACCCTGATTCCTAAAGAACCAAGAAAAGGCGTACGAACCACATCCACAGCTTTCCGGTTGTGGTTCTAGTCACCGGCTCGATTGAGCCTCGAAATGTATTGGGCACCTTGGACGTTTGACCCCGTCTAAAGAGTGTATGATCCGATGGACTGGACACCGGCCTCCAATGGATTGCGGTTTTCACACAGTCTCGCTAGCTTGCGGGTCCGGTTTTGGCTAGCCAAAAGCTCCGGTTGTGGATTCCTCAAGAAAATTCACCTGCCTCAGCCTGGACAACCTGGAAATATTCCGCCTACGAGGAAATCATGGAGCATATTTTTATTAAATCATTGTACTATGATTTGTTGGGCACACAGTTTGAACTCAGATGTGTATGAAATATAACAATATAATAGGTCAGTTAACGAGACGTCCCAGTTAGAATCGAAGCGTAACAGTAAACATCTTACATCTCACTGTACGCCTCGCTCGCCCGAAACTCGTCAGATATTTCACTGTCAATACGTCAATTCATCCCATAGACTTCAAAACAAACCAAGATAGAAACTCACTGTGCTTCTCATGATCATCTTTTTGTGAACTACATGCTATGAGATACTACTCACGTGTGAGTAGTATGTAACATAGTTGGCGATTGCTTTCAACAACCAAAAATCAACAAAATCACCCAGGGCAATTTACTGGGTCTCAAAGAAGAACTATCTATCTATCTATCTATTTCTACATTTATTACCTGTCATGTGGCCATGTGGTTTGTTTCTGATTAGATTTTTGTGTTATGTATGCCAAATGACGAGTGTTCCATCTGTGATTCTCAATAAACGATTATCCTCAACCAGCACCACCTTCTGGATGATGACCATTTTAGGTTTTCCTCGCAAGCAGCCAAACGCGATGGGCATTTATTCAGGAAAAATAACCCCTTTAGTAGAATTTAGTCACGTGATGAGACAATGCAGTAAGTAGTCTCTAGACTAATGTACAATTAGTATTTATATACAAACAGATATGCTACACAAAGCGCACTGAATCGACTGCACGTAGGTCAATAACCCATTTATCTTCTTCGGTTCTTTATCCAACCTACTCGGTGTCGAATCTAGCGAGTTCGCAATCTTGATGCGGAATGTGAGCTTCGCAACCACAAAGCCGGCCAGGACCTCTCCAAAACGAAAGACTGGATGTGAGCCCGTTCGCCTCTCTGTTAAGCACAGTAAACAACAGAATATAT